CTGATTTTTGTTGTTGTTTGGTGGGGATGAGGAAAAATCCTAGGGTTGGAGAAGGATATATTATATATGATAAGGAGAAGTGTTTAATTATATATGATGATAGAGAATGTGTGAATTTTCTGATTATTTTTTGGGTTGTGAAGTAATGGAAAGAAAACCTATTTTTAGCTCCCTTAAGAGGTTGAGCAATGTATGAGTTGCGTTCGTGGTAATGACTATTCGTAGCAATGTATGAGTTGCCTTCGTGGTAATGGCTATTCGTAGTAATGTATACCTTGTTGTTGTGGTATTGGCTCTTCGTAGCAATGTATGACATGCCTTCGTGGTATTGGCTATTCGTAGCAATGTATGACTCGCCCTCATGGTATATTCGTAGCAATGTATGACTTGCCCTCATGGTATTGGCTATTTATAGCAAATATCTGACTTGCCCTATGTGGTAAGATAAATGAACCAAGATAAACTTAAATGAGATAGATGATTATGAAATGAAAGGATGGAAATTACCTATGGGTATGATGAATGGAATAACGATGAGTTCAAGTAAAATGTGGAATGATGAAGAAAATAAAGTGGATATATGCTGAAGTATTATTTATGTTACGATATAACTGTTTAACTAACCTAATTATATGTGGATTATTGTATGATTATGTCTGAACAGATGACTTTCTCCTTTGTGTTTTCTATGTATTTTGTTTATTATAATAACATTTCGGGTAAACAGGTGATTTGAGGATGCTTGATTTGGAGCCTTAGGAGCTTTAGAATCTGGATTCTCTGATTATCTCTTTTTGTATTATAACTGACTAAATGATGAATTGAGTATTTGTAACTATGGGTGTTATATTTCTGGATAACTGTAATCATGGGTATTATGATTTTGGGAACCCACGGCAATCAGTATGTCGTAATCACTGGGAAATATTAATATGAATTATGTTTTTCTGCCTAGTGAATGTATGTATGATTTTCGCATGTTAAGACTATCATGAATTTGGAAAGATGACTGATATAAAGTTATAGGGTCCATAATTATAAGCAATAGTTAAGAATACTTATGTAAATGAATTAAAATAAGGAAAAAATTTCAAGGGTATAATTTGGGTCCTTACATGTTCAAGTAATGGATAAAAGTACATGCATAATACAAAACAACACATTAGGATCCTATTACAACAATGGACAAGAAACTAAACTACGGCATCATCTGAATCCGCTAGTCCTTAGCTTTACCAGTACACCGATTATCACATATAAAACCAACAAGAAACGCAAGGGAGTAAGACATAAAATCAATGATAATCAGTGTTTATAAATCAGTATAAAATAGAAATATTTACAACAAATACAAATCCAATTTAATACAATTCAACATTCAAACCAAATAACTATCATACAACATGTGACACCCCAAATTTAAAGTCAATAAATTATAGTATCAGTCCCGGGAATCTCGCTTGAGCGAGAAAGGTGTTGCCTAGGCGAGAGTTGCTCACCTAGGTGAGTGAAATACTGGGCTACACTGAAGGATTCTCGCTTGAGCGAGAGGATCCTCGCTTGAGCGAGAGTGATCTCGCCTGAGCGAGAGTGATCTCGCCTGAGCGAGAGTGATCTCGCCTGAGCGAGAGTGATCTCTCCTGAGCGAGAGTTGTCTCGCCTGGGCGAGAAATGGCATTTTGGAACCTGTCGAGGCTGTGAGATTCTCGCTTGAGCGAGAGAGCCAGATCTGAAAATTTAAAAAGACAGGATTTCCTCGCTTGAGCGAGAATGGGCTCGCTTGAGCGAGAACACGACGAGTTTTCTTTATAATAGAAACCCCAAACACATTTTAGGGTGAGAAATTGTGAGAGAAGAGAGGAGGATGTGATTTTGATAGCAAGAACTCGTGGGAATCATCTAGAAGCTTGAGAAGAGGTAAATCTCTTGATTCTACCTCTCTTTCTCCCTTTCAAACTTGTTTTGGGATGAATGGCATCTCTTCTCAAAGTATAAGAAACATTGGAAACTCTTCCTTTTGAGTTGTGGTTCTTTTTATTTAGTTTCTTTCTTGTAAACTCTAGATTTAGAGTTAGTATTTGATGAATGGAAAGGTTTTGTGGGTTTATCCATGAAACCCCCGAAACCCCCAAAATGAGAATGTGAGTAAAAAGGGAAATATGTGAAATGTTAGATGTAGAAGATGAGTTTGTGCTCTAATGTTGATATATGAGATGAATATGTATGTTTTAGATGTTTAGAAACTCTTAATGAAAGTAGTTTAGAAACATTGAAAATGTGTGAATCTCTTGTATGGTTAAAGTTGAAATATGGGTTGTTATGTGTTATGCTGAATAAAATGACTAACATTTTTGTTATTGGTGGGGATGATGAAAGATCCTAAGGTTGTAGGTGGTTTCCGAGTAACTTGCAAAATTACCAAGAACTAGACCCAACTCGCACCAAGGTAAGGATAAGTCTTTAATTTCACATCGTAATGGAAAATGTGTGGATTTTCTGGTTGAGAAAGGGATTAAGATGCAAGTCGCTTATTTATTATAGACATATATGGGTATGTTTGTAATAAAGGACGCGTGGAATTGCTAGTTATAAATTAATGGTGTATCAATGAGAAGAAAACATATTTTTAGCCGACCATGGATGGTTAGCGACTTTGGCTCAAGTTATGTAGCGGTAATGAATTTGCAATGGTTTACTAACTCCCTTAAAATGTGGATTTTTGGGAAATTACCTACCGGAAGTGGTAGTGGATCATTGGGAAATTACCTACCCGAAGTGGTAGTGGATTATTGGGAAATTACCAACCCGAAGTGGTAGTGGATCATTGGCAAATTACCTACCCGAAGTGGTTGTGAATCATTGGGAAATTACCTACCCAAAGTGGTAGTGGATCATTGGGAAATTACCTACCCGAAGTGGTATTGGATCATTGGGAAATTACCTACCGGAAGTGGTAGTGGATCATTGGGAAATTACCTACCCGAAGTGGTAGTGGATCATTGGGAAATTACCTACCCGAAGTGGTAGTGGATCATTGGGAAATTACATACCCGAAGTGGTAGTGGATCATTGGGAAATTACCTACCCGAAGTGGTTGTGAATCATTGGGAAATTACCTACCCGAAGTGGTAGTGGATCATTGGGAAATTACCTACCCGAAGTGTTTATGTGAACTGTTGTGTGACTATATGATTACTTGTCTGGTTAAAATTAGTTTATTGACGGGTGAATGAGTACAGGTACACATGGCTAGAAGAGAAAGAGGAGCGAGTTAGAATGTTCCGAATGATCTTTTGGCCCAGATGGTGGCGACACTGCAACAAGTGATCGAGAATTTGCAGAATCTGAATCAGAACCCGGCACCAAGTTCGAGTTCGCAGCCCCTGGTCCCACCCGGGCCGACAGAGTATCGAGGTCTGGATGAATTCTGCAAGAGGAATCCCAGTAAGTTCCACGGCGGATTTGCTCCTGATGCTACGTATGAGTGGATTCATAGCTTGGAAAGGATATTCCGAGCCATGGGTTGTGGCGATGTTCAGAAGGTAACCTATGCTTCCTAAATGATGGCAAAGGAAGCTGAAAACTGGTGGGAGATGACCCGCCACCAGATGGAAGCTGAGGGAACAATGGTTACCTGGGATGCATTCAAGGGAAAGTTCTTTCAGAAGTACTTTCCAGCTGATTTAAGAAGGAAGAAAGAGATGGAGTTTTTGAGGTTGGAGTAGGGTGGCATGTCGGTGGGAGACTATGCGGCCAAATTTGAGGAGTTGCCCAAATTTTGCCCCTACTCTGCATTGGAAATGGACGGAAGGTCCAAGTGTTCAAAGTTTGAGTCGGGTTTGAGACCCAAGCTGAAGATGATATTTGGACATCAAGAGATTGCCTATTTTCCTACCTTGGTTAACAAGTGTAGGATGTATGAAGATGACCTGGCAGCGGATGAGGTGGTGACCCCTAGAGTTAATCATCCGAGAAACTTCGGCCCTCAGAGAAATCATACCCAAGACAAGGGTAAGGGAAGGATGTTTGAGGATAACCGCAGACCTTATGAGGAGCCTACTAGTTATCTTGGCCACAACGATCAAGGATCAAGACCTTTTGACGTTCCGAGTGGAGGGGTTTCTACTCCTTTCTGCAACAAGTGTGGCAGACTCCATTATGGAAGCACATGCCCGAGGTCGGATAATAAATGTTTCTACTGCAGGGAATGGGGAAACATCAAAAGGTTTTGTCCAAAACTAAGTTGGCGGCTGAATGTCGTTCATTCTGAGAGCAAGGAACACGGGCAGAGTATTTACCCTGAGTGGTGAAGAGGCGTCCGATGTGAATGGCCTGGCCCAAGGTAAATGTATGGTGGCAGGTATTTTCCTTTTAGTGCTGTTTGATTCGGAAGGGATACACTCCCTTGTATAAGTTAAACGTGTATACCTGCCGAAACTCTAAATGGAGTCATTGCCTTTCGACTTGGTTGTATCCACCCCAACTAGTTGGCTGGTGGTGGTATCGACGTTTATGTCTTAGTTTCCAGTTGTAGTAAATGGTAGCACATTTACAGTGGATTTATTCTGCTTGTCGTTATCCCTGATAGATTTGATTTTGGGGATGGACTGGTGGTCAGAACATCTTGTTATGTTGAATAGAGCTGACGAGACTGGGGCGTTTTGGACTCTGAGTGAGATTTCTGACCAGACTAGTTGTATGGAGCCAGTTTGGCAAATTGAGTCAGAACTTCCCTATATGAAGGGGGGATTAGTGTTGTTTTGTTGACGACACTAGAGGGTGTGGATAAACTTGTTAGCATTTCGAGAGAATAAGACTTTGCGATGTAAACTGAATTTATTTTTTCAAAACCGATTTAAATTTAAGTACTGATCATAACGAAATTCATTTGATTAATACATACTACATATCCCCACCAATTCAAATATTTCATCGAAATGGATTCAATTTGTCCTGCCCCTCAACCAAATTCTTATTGAAAAAAAAAAAACAATTTTCAATAACTTGTTGATCCCTATCCTTCTTATCCCGATTCCCAGATTGATTATCGTTTTTTATTTCGTGGTTTAGTTTAGTGTGAAATAGAAATATATCGACCGAATTTTAACAATGAATAAAAAAATTCTATGGAATTATGAAAGATGAAAAGATCCTTCTGATCGAATCCTATCATTTCATTATATTGACAATTTAAAAAAACTGTTCATACTCTCAATATGGTAGAATAGAATGGCGGTCGGGCAAGTCTGCCCCCATCGTCTAGTGGTTCAGGACATCTCTCTTTCAAGGAGGCAGCGGGGATTCGACTTCCCCTGGGGGTAGGGTACTACGAAAGGAGGCAGTCAAGAGTAAATTTAATGTTGATTGTCATTGAGGAAATAAAATGCCTTGGAATGAATGAGTATTTCATGCTATAGAATATATATTATGGCGTATATATACTATAGGATGAAATATCTCTTTGAGATTAGTTGTTAATATCCGGTAATTTGTTTAGTGACGTGAGAATTGTAGAAGCAAATGTTAAACTGTCTCGGCGATGACTTGAATAATAATGTAAATGATTTCTTATAAGTGCATAAATCTAGGCTTTGATGATGCAATGGGAGGTGGTGTGCATAAACCTTTGGTCTATGATGATCGATCCTTTTGTAGTAAAACATTGGCAATGCACGATATAGTGGTGATGTACACCAATTATCTACCATGAATGTTGTACTGACAAAACTTGTTTCTGTTTCATGTGCGTCAGAAATTGCTAGACCTGATTGTAACGTAATCGCATGAGAAAAAGTTTTGTTTTAAAATTTGTCTTGAAGCGATTATGTAAACCTTGTTTTTACGACATGGTTGCCATGAATCGTATGTTCAATCCATTTTGAAAATCATTCTTGTCTAAGACGTAGCAGGTGGCTAGACATTGATTTAGTATCATGTTGGAGAATCCAATGACTTTAACAAACGTATCTTGATAAATATGTTGTTGTTAAAAACTTGGTGATACGATTACGACCATGTGACTCGTGTCGTACTACAAGTGGAGTACTAAATGTATATTTCCTAGTGTAATTGGGGTATCCAAATCTAACATAGGTTATTGGATTGAACGTTTGTAAGTCTGCACTTGTCGATTGGTAACGAAATATCTAATTTTGGGTGTATCAATGGTTTCGTGTGTCCAATTTAGGCTAAGGATTGGTAATTCCCTTCTACTGTATTGTAGGGTGGTAGAAATGCTGAATGTAAGTGGTTAATTACTGGATAGTTTGATTGTGTACAAGGGGAGAGACTCTAAAATTCTTATATGTACGAATGTTTTTGTTGAATGACCACCTTGCTGCTATGTGGTAGGGAATACAATGTTTGGAATTGTAACACCCCGAATTTTAGTCTTTAAAAATTAGAGTATCAGTCCTGGAAGCCTCGCTTGATCGAGAGATTCTCGCCTGAGCGAGAAAGGATCACCTGGGAGGGTGAAATCATAGGTTATACTGGATGATTCTCGCCTGGGCGAGAAATGGCAATTTTGGTTGTTTTTTTTAACAGTGTAATCGATTACACAATACTGGTAATCGATTACATGATGATAAATTAATCAGACCTGTGTGTTTTACATGACGTAATCGATTACACTACACTCGTAATCGATTACAACATATTAAAAGCATCAGATATGTGCATTTTTAACTGATGTAATCGATTACACCATATGGTAATCGATTACATTTACTCGCTGAGCAGAAATTGCTCACTGTGAGATTCTCGCTTGAGCGAGAATGGGCTCGCTTGAGCGAGAACCCGACGACTGCTCTTTAAAAATAGAAACCCCAAACACATTTTAGGGTTAGAACTTGAAGAGAAGAAAGAGAAGGGAGCTTTTCAAGAGCAAGGAGCCTTAGGACTCATCTTAGAGCTTGAGAAGAGGTAAACCTCTTGTTTCTAACTCTTCTTCTTCCTCTCTAACTTGTTTTGGGTATGTTAGATCTATTTTCAAAATATGAGAAACCATGGAAACTCATCCTTTAGAGTTATGGTTCGTTTTAGGTTGTTTTTTCTCTTGTAAACTCTTGGTTTAGAGTTGGTATTTGATGAATGGAAAGGTTTTGTGGGTTGTTCATGAAAACCCCAAAAACCCCAAAATGAGAATATGAGTAAAGAGAGAAATAGATGAATATGTATGTTTTAGATGTTTGGAAACTCGTATTGAAGTAGTTTTGGAAACCTTGAAAATATGTAAATCTCTTGTATGTTTGACGAGGAAATACGAGTTATTTATGTGTTATTTTGAATAAATGACTAACATTGTTGTTATTGGTGGAAATAAGGAAAGATCCTAAGGTTGGAGGAAATCGCGGAGGAGGCTTTTAAAGTTACTCGGAACCGATCCCCAACACTCACCAAGGTAAGGGATAAGTCTCTCTAAATCATACTTGCTGATATGAACGAGGTATGTGAAAGAGGTAATAGTTTAAAAAGATACGTCTGTAATTTATGCATTATGTTGGAAAATGCGTGGCTTTTCTGTTATGGTAATAAAAGTAACATTATTGGGGGAGAACCAATGGAAATAAGACTCAAAATGATTTCAATCTAATTTGGGGGAGTCCCAATGGAAATAAGACTCAAAATGATTTCAATCTAATTTGGGGGAGTCCCAATGGAAATAAGACTCAAAATGATTTCAATCTAATATGGGGGAGTCCCAATGGAAATAAGACTCAAAATGATTTCAATCTAATTTGGGGGAGTCCTAATGGAAATAAGACTCAAAATGATTTCAATCTAATTTGGGGGAGTCCCAATGGAAATAAGACTCAAAACGAATTCAATCTTATTTGGGGGAGTACCAATGGAAATAAGACTCGGAGTAATGAATGTCGTATGCATGCTATAATATATATAGTATGGGATATATATTCTATAGGGTGAATATGAATGATGAGAAATGTTAATGTCACATGAATGTCGTATGCATGCTATAGGATATATAGTATGAGATATATATTCTATAGGGTGAATATGAGTGATAAAGAGAAAGATGTTGAGAAAGAAAGTAATATACATGTTATAAGATATATATTATGGGATATATATGTTATAGGGTGGATATGAATAACGAGACATAAGATGTTTCGAACGAACGTAATATGCATACTATAGAATATATATTATGGGATATATATACTATAGGATGAATATGAGTAAAGTGGAAATTAAAGGAAGATGATTTGAATGTTTACAATTCCGTATGTGCGTTTACGAATTATATTAAAGCTTATTTGTATTTGAATGTGGGTTATCATGTGATGTTAGTTTTGAACTAATGACTTACTCCCTTTTTGTTTTATGTGTTGTTTATGATAACCCCATTGTAGGTAAATGAAGGATATTGAGGATGAAGCTTAATTAGGAAGCTTTTGGGTTTAGTTATTCAATTGTCTTTATTGTTATTTGACATTGTAGTTGATTTGATAACATTGTGGGATGACTGTAAATCCGTTTAGATTAATATAGACATGTGTAGTTATGGGCTTTATAACTTTGGGAGACCCATAACTGGTCGTATGTGGTAAATGCTATTTGAATGAATTATGTTTTTCCGCAACATAAATTTGTATGATAATATGATAGGGTAAAGAGTATTTTTAAAGAGTGATACTTGAGAGTTTTCTATGAAGGTGACGACTGTATGTAAGAAGGGATTAAAAATAAATGAAAAATTTTCAAGGGTAGAAAATCGGGTCGTCACAGGAATGCTAAGGTAAATTTTGAGCGGATAATGGTTATGTTTCATGAGTGGAATGAATTGATGCTATTCCCTTGGGTGAAGGTTGAACTAGATATTGCATGTGGGATGTTATTGTGATACTCATTGTATGTGATTATCGTATTAAACGATTGTAGCTAGATAGGTCGGAGGGAACTATTGTTTTGATGAATGTAAGGGAATCTTTATTCTTGGTACAGTTTCGTTCTCTTAGTTGTTCGACTTGTTTGAGAGTGGGACCTTAAGATTTAGACAATGATGATTTAGTCCATGAATTGGTTTTGTGATATCACGGTTTAGTGGTGTGTGCCCTTGGTGGTAGTTTAAGTAATCTTAATGGATTAGATGATCGAATATGGAGTTGGTTGAGTTTAGCTTATACCTAGTGTCGAGGCGATGATAAAGTCTTCCTGAGAGTAACCTAATAAAATTTAGGGGATGAAATTTCTTTTAGGGGGAAGGGTTGTGACACCCCAAATTTAAAGTCATTAAATTATAGTATCAGTCCTGGGAATCTCGCTTGAGCGAGAAAGGTGTCGCATGGGCGAGAGTTGCTCACCTGGGTGAGTGAAATATTGGGCTATACTGAAGGATTTTCGCTTGAGCGAGAGGATCCTCGCTTGAGCGAGAGTGGTCTCGCCTGAGCGAGAGTTGTCTCGCCTGGGCGAGGAATTGCATTTTGGAACATGACGAGGCTGTGAGATTCTCGCTTGAGCGATAATCCCTCGCTTGAGCGAGAATCCCTCGCTTGAGCGAGAGAGCCAGATCTAAAAAGCAGGATTTTCTCGCTTGAGCGAGAATGGGCTCGCTTGAAAGAGAACCCGACGAGTTTGCTTTATAATAGAAAACCCAAACACATTTTAGGGTGAGAAATTGAGAGAGAAGAGAGGAGGAGGTGATTTTGAGAGCAAGAACTCGTGGGAATAATCTAGAAGCTTGAGAAAAGGTAAATCTCTTGATTCTGACTCTCTTTCTCCCTTTCAAACTTGTTTTGGGATGTATGGGATCTCTTCTCAGAGTATGAGAAACCATGGAAACTCTTCCTTTTGAGTTGTGGTTCTTTTTATTTAGTTTCTCTCTTGTAAACTCTTGATTTAGAGTTAGTATTTGATGAATGGAAAGGTTTTGTGGGTTTATCGATGAAAACCCCAAAAATGAGAATGTGAGTAAAAAGGGAAATGTAATGTGACCATATTGTCCTAATTGGGCATAATTTAGAGTTTTCTACGTTTTATCCGCAAAAAACGTAGTGGCGACTCCAAAACAATTGGAAGATGTAGGAATCGAATTTGCCTCTCCCCAAGTCGCAGGACCGGTCTTCCAACCGAAAAACGGGTCGCGACATATGAGTTGTTATTGGATTGCAAGTTCTAGAAATTGTCATATACACTTGTAAGGCAATCCAAGCCAAATGGTAAATTCTTCACTTTTGCAAAGTTTACTTTCTTTCACAAAGGGTGTGAAGAGAAAGGGTGAGTGTGTAACACCCCAAATTTATCCTCCTTGAAAATAGGTAACAGTCCTGAGGAATGGGGCATACTGGCAGATTCTCGC